TGTGAAGTGTGACATTATTATCCCCATTTTACAGAAGCGAAAACTGAAGTTCAGAGAATCTCCCTTGCCTCTGAGATTTCATTTCCTTCTATTTTATTCCTTATTTCCATTCCCAGTGTCACTGTGCTCAGTGAATCAGGAACCACTGTACCGGGAACATTGAGTGTGGGAGGATAAGACTGTACTTTCTTTTGTTTTTCCTGTCTTGTTGTTGGAATGCTTTGTTTCTTAATTTAGTCTTTACGTTTCTGTAATTTTTGAGTTTTTAAAACCTAATTTGCTAAAAGTAAATATAGACTTTAGTTAATATGACATCTCCTATCTATTCACTGTGTCAAATAGTGGGAAGCTGTGGACTTTGTCATTATTACTTTTTATTATGCATTAATTGCATAAAACCTTGCCTTCTTCATTCATCAGAGACGCCTTATTTAATCCACTAAATTAATCTTTGACCAAGCTTACTGGCTTGCAGGATCTCCCAGAGGAAAGGAGATCTTTGTGGTAACTGTGTCCTTCCACCCCCAGGCCTCTATGTGGATTCAGTTACTGACAGGCTAGATTCCCATCTGGGTTTGTCAGGGATGTCTGGCCAAAGAATAAATTAAAGGACTTCAGGGAGGTGATTCCAGCCCCCGTCTCTCTAATTCCAGTCTGTCCAAGCTTCTTTTCTTCTTTTTCTGGTGATGCTGTCACATCCCTTCAGCCAGTCTCTGACCTGGGCCATAGCTGTGGCAGCTGATCATACGCGAGCGCGGATGATGACCGCAGGCTGACTGGCTGTCATTTCAAGAGCATGCTGCACATCCCTGTGCTTTCTGCCCAGAACTTCTCCAAACCCACAGGAGACAGCTTGGCCTGAGCTCAAAAACAGTCCAGAAGGGCAGGGAGTTAATGCCCCCTGGGGTGACGCTCAACTAATGAGAGCCAAGGGCCAGTTAATATTAATATATGCTCCAGTCCCTGACCCCTCCGCTGACAATTCTCTGTGCTACTCCCTGTGGAATCAAGTTGGCCTCGCCCACAGCAGGGATCTTGACAACTTACCTCTTTGGTTTTCCCTCCTTTCCTGAGGCATCACCCACTCCCTCGCCTCTGCTCCCCAATCACCTCTCACATAAACTGCTTTCACGGAAGTCCTCATTTGGGCTCTGTTTTTTGGAATAAACATTTACAGGGGTGAAGATATTTCCCCTTCACCTTAAGCATAGCCTGTGAAGAGTGAGGTGCCTATGGTCACCTCTAGAAGAAGCTGCAAGTTATCACTGAAAAGGTCATTAGTTTCTCCAGCAGCCAATAGTGAGTGCTTGTCAATATTTGTTTTCAGGTCACCTTCTAAACGCCTTAAAGTTGGAATTGAATTATGACCTTTATAATAACCTGCAGTGAAGAGGGCCATGACCAGCACAACTTTAAAAGGACTTTTTGAGCCGTGTACCAGGTGAGTACCATGGAATCACTACTTCCTGACATGGGCAACTGCAGCATTTTTGTGAACTCAAATGTTTAACCTAGATGGGGGTCCTAGAATTCCCAGCCTGATAATCTACTTTTACCATTTGAACTTGAGGGAGTTGTTCAAGGCTGCACAGCTGGTTAACGGGAAAGAGATGTCTCTGGGAAAGCAGTTGTCTACCCCTAAATAAAAATGAGTAGAGGCCGGGTGTGGTGGCTCATGCCTGTAATCCCCAGCACTTTGGGAGGTCAAGTAGGGCAAATCACCTGAGGTTGGGAGTTCAAGACCAGCCTGACCAATGCGGAGAAACCCTGTCTCTACTAAAAATACAAAATTGGCCAGGCATGGTGGTGCATGCCTGTAACCCCAGCTACTTGGAAGGCTGAGGCAGGAGAATTGCTTGAACCTGGGAGGCAGAGGTTGTGGTGAGCCGAGATCGTGCCATTGCACTCCAGCCTGGGCAACAAGAGCGAAACTCCATCTCAAAACAAAGCAAAACAACAATAACAACAACAACAACAAAAAGAAAAACAAGTAGAAGACAAGGCCCTTCCAAGTCTGTTTCATACTTTGGGCCTCTGTACTTGTTACTGTCTTCTCCTGGAATGTTCTCTCTGGCTTCTTGTCTTTCAGGCTGAGCTCAATTGTGGGCTCCTCAAGGGCCCTTCCTGACCATACAACTTAGAACAGCCCATCCCTCCAGACACTAAGGCATCACCCTGTTTTGTTGCTTTCATAGTACATATCACTACCTTGGAATCTTTAGGTCCAAATAAGGTATAAAAATGATATTATTCTGCTTATTGATTTATTTACAAGTTTATTGTGAGTTTGTCCTTCACTAGGATCTTGCCTGTCCTCTTCCCTGCTTTATTCCAAGGCCCAGCATATTGTCAGGGCCCAATATTTGAAGAGAAGAAATGACAGCTATCCATAGACTATTCCATTAACCTCATTTGCTATTTTGAATACACAGTTAACCACTGGAAAAAGAGTCTGGCTTTCTGGGTAGTTGAACCCATAGATTAACCCTTCTGAACCCTTGGCATAGCTTAGACCCTGGAGTACTGAGTTGGGCCTGTGGACTACCCATTCACGGTCCAGTCTTTTTTCTGGTGTTTTCCACCCTAAGCACATGAAGGGGTCATAGAAGCCATCAATGTCATCATGACACACAAGGCGATAGGGAAGGGAAATAAAGGAATCAAATTTTCTTCTTCCTCCCTTTGGCATACCTTTAGCTTGGGTATGTTAAGTGAAGTGAGACTGAGGGCCTGGAGGAAAGAGATTTGAAAATAATGCTTAGCCTGTAATCCCAGCTACCTAGGAGGCTGAGTCAGGAGAATCTCTTGAACCAGGGAGTCAGAGGTTGCAGTGAACTCAGATTGTCCCACTGCACTCCAGCCTGGTGACAGAGTGAGACTTTGTGACAGAAAGGAAGGAAGGAAGGAAGGAAGGAAGGAGAGAAGGAGGGAAGGAGGGAAGGAGGGAAGGAGGGAAGGTGGGAGGGAGGGAGAGAGGAAAGGAAGGATGGAGGGAGGAAGGGAGGGAGAAAGAAAAGAAAAGAAAAAATGCTTAGACCTGGTTTTATAGCTTAGTGGCGAAGCAGCAAAGGAGTCCTAATGGTCACACATGGTCAGATTAGCTTGCCAGAAGAGGGAACCAGATAAAGAGGTGAGGAAACTGCTCCAGCCAAGAATTATAGCTGTGCATTGCAGCTCATGCAGCTTGTGCCACATATTCTCAGAAACCTCAAATGCAGTGTTAGGAAACAGAATAAGAATGTGGTCTGGCAAAAAAGAGAGCAGAGAACCACACCATAAAGGCAGAAGGCACAGTGCTTCCTTATAATTATTCTTAGATGCTTCCAACCTGATGGCATTGTCATAGCTTTTTCTGTATTTACTGACATCTTTTTCACCTTATGGCTGCTGAAATCACCCTGAAATCTTGTGTGTTTGCTGAAAATTAGGCTAGCTTGTAAGGAAAACCCCACAATTTTTTCTCTGTATACAAATTGGAGCTGAATAGATTGGTTTAGTAATGATGAAACCTAAGCTCAGAGATCTCAACCAACAATCATAAAATTTTACAACAGGAAATGGCAGTTTTTATTTGAAAAAAAAAAAAACTTAAGTGAAATTATCCTTCATTTATGGTATGAGCCAACAGTCCTAATAATTCTGTGAGTTCTTATTGCTAGAAGAAAAATTCATTAAGATGTTTACACATTGATTGCCTTCTGAGGAACCACAGACGTGCCAGCAGGCCAGAAGCAAATGATCAAGTGGGTAGACATGGAGGCAGGGCCTCCCATTGCCCTTGACTGTATCTACAGGGTGAAGATAAGCCAACTGGAAGAAATACGATGCAGCAAGTACTTGGGAGAATGGGCATTTAATAAATAATTAGTGCTGCCTTTGGTCTCTCTGAGAGTTACTGATCAACATCTGCTTTTTCCCTAAAGCTCTTTTTCCTTTCCCTTCTATTATTTATTACTGGACTCTTATTTATCAAATGCATACTAAATATGCACTGGATAATGAAAGATTAATGAAATATGGTCACTGTCCTTAAATTCATTTGTACTGTGTGGAGGCAGGTAGACATATCAATAATATTACATCCCCATAAATAATGACCCCTTTTTGAAAATGGCCTAATCAATTATCACACACTGAAGTGCTAATGACTAATGGGTAACAGCACAAATTATTAACAGCTCATAGGAATATCAGCAACCAAATAAGGGTCATGACTTCATGCATGGAACTTTGAGGAACTTGTAGTGTTTGTGTTTTCACTATTACAGTATATCATAGCCTATATATTAATGTAGGGTAAAAACTGGGAGGGTTATTATGCAGAAGGGAATTATTTTAACACTGGCAGACAGGCTCCCTGCCCCACCCAAAATATTGCCTTGGCTGACTCTTTGTTAATGTTCTCAGTTGCAACTCTTTATAATGAGATGTTTTTCATAAATTCATAAAGTGGAGCAATATATCATTTTATAGTATCATCTAGTTACAGATCTATTGAAAACAGCTTAGTACAATTTGTCCTCAATCCAGCTTAAATGACTAATCCTGACATTGTGCCACATATCCCCCAGCACTGGAGGAACTGCAAAAGGAAATCTACCACAGCTATAACCTAAGTAAACCCAGCCTTTAATAGGTATCATATTAAGCCATAAGAATCATGATTTCATAGTTTAGTACCTGCTATAATAATATTGGAATTAGCCTTAGAGCAAGAATCACATTCTACTCCCTGCTCTGCTAATTATCTAGTCTCATGGCCTTGAGCAATCCACAAAGCTCCTACAGTCCTCATCTATAAAAATGAAGACCATTAGGTCCCGTGAATCCAAGGTCCGATTGACCTCTTACTTTGCAGAGTAGCTAACATTGATTGAATGCTTAGAAGGAACAAAAACTTGTTATTTACTCTGGGTTGGACTCATCATCTAGGCATTTCCTCATGTATTTCCAAATTGTAGTTTGTTCTTATTGACATTCAAATGAACTTGACAACTTACCAAATAAATTTTCAGAAAAAGAAAATTCATCTGTGGCAGGTAAATGGGAGTGTTCAATGAGATTCATTTTTGATCCCATCCAAATTTTTCAATTGAAATGCACTTTCTTTATGGTGGTCTTCAAGAAAAACTCCTGAAAGGAAGATAAACAGAGTTTGTAATTGTGGAGATGGGAGAAAGGGTTGGTTAGGAGAGCTAGGGAAGAAGAAAGCGAGATAGTTTATAAAAGTACAAATGGCTTCCTTTGAATGCCTTCCACTGTAGCCTTTCTGTGTGTATCTTTTCTCAATACTTACCATTTTTATACCTCGTTTGGACCTACGAATGCCCAAGATATGTGCTTTCATAAGAGATACGCTCTAATTTATCTGTAAAGAACGAGGTGGGCAGATCATGAGGTCAAGAGATCAAGACCATCCTTGCCAACATGGTGAAACCCCGTCTCTACTAAAAATACAAAAATTAGCCGGGTGTGGTGGCATGCACCTGTGGTCCCAGCTACTTGGGAGGCTGAGGCCAAAGAATTGCTTGAACCCAGGAGGGGGATGTTGCAGTGAGCCGAGATTGTGCCACTGTACTCCAACCTGGTGACAGAGCAAGACTCCGTCTCAAAAAAAAACAAAACAAAAAAAAAAAAAAAAAAAAAAAAACAAAACAAAAAAAAACACCATATGTTTTCATTCAAATTTCAGCCCTTGGGAGATTTGGGCAAGATATGATGACATTTTGACTATGTCTCTATTAGAAAAAAGAAACAAATATAAAGGCCTTGATTTAAAATGAGATGAAGCCATGATTTATTATCTTAAACTTTATTACAAAGTTGAATAGGTTTTTATAAACATTAATGGTAATTTAAAGTCACTTCCTGCTGGAATGTTTTTGACTAGGCATTATATCAACAGATCAGAAAATCAAAGATCTTCTTGATTTATCCCTTTTCGAGGAAATTTCAGGGGCTTTTGTTTTCACTGTCATAATCCACTTTGGTCCTGTATTTATCTGGGCTTTCTAAAAAGATACAGTAAAAAGAAAAATAATGGTAAATCTCACCAAAGTTTCTGAAGTTTCATCTTGAGGAAATATCCAGAAGAAATCCAGGAACCCAAGAGAAGCAGTGTTCACTGTAAGCTACGTCTCTAGGTCTTCTTTTCTTCTTTCCTTCCTTCCGCGATGTCTTCTACTTCCCTAAGGAAGTAATTTGAAAGGGTAAGTAATGAAAAGTGTTAATGTGTGCTGTCACAATCTCTTTTCCCAAGCTGTTTACTGAGTATAATTTTCAAACTTTTTTTTCTGTATCCAATATGAAATTGCTTTATTTATAAAGAAATAGCTCTCTGTATTTGCTGCTCAGGAAGAGAACATAGAAGGTTTTTTGGATAAGGTGTATTTCATTTGGATTTCCTTACTATTCATGTCTCTCTTTCTCTCTCACTCACCAAATGTTCCAGCTCAAATAGAAGTGAGTTTCAGCTGCACTTGGTTGCTGGGAAGGCAGTCCACCAGAAACCTGTTTGCTTCATTCATTCATGTGTTCGTGCTTGCAACAAATATTCAGTGAGCACTTATTCTGCACTAAACTCTGTGCTAAATATTTGAAGATAAAATGGAAAAAGGGAAAAAAAATTCATGATCCATGACATCAAGATTAATGAAGAATAGATATTAAACAAATAATCACACAAATACATAGATGATTTTATATTATCATGAAAGCTGTTTACGAAGGCAAAGAACAGGATCCTATAGTTGAGAGGTTTGGGTGTAAAGAGACAGGGAGTCAAGAGATAGGGAAGTAACTGAAGGAGGATGTAGTTTCAAGGGCAAGTTTTAAAGATGGGTGATACTACAGCAATTTGCATTGATGGGAAAGCACCAGAGAGGAAGCAGCTGAAGAAGCAAGTATGAGGGAGAGTCTCCTGAGAAGAGACACAAACTGTGTCCACTGTGGGGTCCAGGCATATCTGTGTCCATCTGATAAACCAATGGCATAGTCCTATCAAATTCCACTAAACCCTACCACCAAACTCTACTATCCATTAATACAAGGGGCTTGTTGGGAGAAAATCCATTCTAAACTCAGGGGGAGCTAGGAACCATGAACTTCACCCCCAAAGGAAAGCCTTAGCCATTACAGACACATGTAATTTTCAGTGTAGCTGTGTTTGGCCAACCCATACTAGATTCAGGAGACCTTCCTACCATCCAGAGGTGAGAAGGAAAGGGTTATAAATAAAAATGAAGTCTGGAAACATTGAGGTATAAGGCAAATCCTTCCAATTTAACAGGCAAGAGAGAGCTCATTTCAACCTCATCCTCATCCTCAAACAACTCTGCCATCTATTACAGTGGCTCTTTGAACCAAAGAGGGCCCAGAGCCCTTCTAGGGCAACTGTGAAACAGCACCCCAGGCACTGCCATAACCCCTGTAGAGGTGCCCAGCAGAGGAATCAACTACTGGTTGGGCACTGCTCTGCCCCATGGACACAAAATGTGTCTATGGAAGGGGCAGCCAGAGCAGATCTAATTAGAAACGTGAAGAGATCCCAAGACATTCCTAGAATAACTGGGGAGTTGTGGGGGAGGGAGACTTTGATAGGGAGCTGGAGGTCCTGAAGAATAAGCCAGTAAAAGTTGAGTCGCTGGCTCGACACTGTGGCTACTGCCTGTAATCCCATCACTTTGGAAAGCTGAGGCAGGAGGATCACTCAGGCCCAAGAGTGTAAGACCAGTCTGGGCAACATGCCAAAACCCCACCTTTACTAAAAATTAAAAAATTATCTGGGCATGGTGGTACACATCTGTAGTCCCAGCTAAGTTACTCAGGAGGCTCAAGCAGGAGGATCACTTGAGCCTGGGAGGTTGAGGCTGCAGTGAGCTCTGATCATGCCACTGCATTCCAGGCTGGATGACAGAGTTGAAATCGCAAAAGAAATAAAGTGTTGAGTTGTTGCCATTAACAGGACCTCATTAACATTCACAAGCTAGCTGAGGACTAGGGAAATTCAAATTTCAGTATGTACATATCAGTTGTATAAGGATGTATATAATGTGTATATATGAATACATAGATGAATAATGATGCTAAATGCGTATATGTGTCCGTACATTGTATAATAATTATAATAATAAACCCCCACTCCCCGTCAAAATTCAGGCAACTATTGTTCTAGAGTTTCTCCTCTCTCTGTAATAAGAAATTCCACAATTTCCCATAATAATATTTTCCAGGAACCCACAATGTGAATGGTCAGAAAGTTTTTCAATTCAACCCAAACTTATATTCTGTAACTTAAGACCCATTTCCTCTGGTCTTTAAAAACTAGGATATTGCAGCTCTGTGACTCTGACTTCAGGTTTCCCTCTGTGCTCTCCTGTCTCACATCTGTTGTTTTTAACCTTGAGTCATGTTCAGCAAGCTCCCCCATCCTTCCACCGCACATTACAACTTTTTAATATTTTCCAGGCACACTCATCTTCCTTTTGGATTCCTGTGACATATTTTCTTCAATACATTCATATAAACTTGGCACCTTCAAATCAAGTGCCTGGCATACAATCAGCTCTCAAGAAATGTTGGCTTTATTAAATTATCTACATTTATTTTCTTGCTTAGTTCTGCCAAATTCTATGACATTTGACTTGCTCTTCCTGGAGAAATGGTATAAGCCCTATTGGCACAAAAGCTTAGGACATAATTTATCACTTGCTCTCCCAAATGAAAAGCCCAATTCCCTTAAGTCTGCACCATTTAAGTTATTATCCCTGACTGGAGAGCCACCATGTGAATGCTCCTAATGAGCTAACAGCAGAACTCTCTAGAATCCAGATAGTTAGCAGGGTCTACTTAAGTCAGATTCATTGGGTTTACAATTCCTGAACGGACCTTAAAAAATGGAAACTCTATTTTTGAAATGGTAACACAAGCACAGGGTAAACAATTCAAACAGTATACCGAAAAAAGTCTTCCCAGCTCAGACACCCATTTCCCTTACCCAAATACAATTACCATGGCCAGTTCCTTGTGTATCCTTCCGGAATATTATTCTCACTCTTCAATATAAAAGGGCCTTTAAATACCATGTCTAAAACCAGAGTTTGTAAACTTGCCTACAGGCCAAAGCCAGTCTGCTGCCTGTTTTTGTGTAGCCTGGGAGCTTAGAATGGTTTCACATTTTCAGATGATTTAAAACACCAGAAGAAGAAGATTTCATGACACATGGAAATTATATGAAATTCATATTCAGTACCTATAAACAGTTTAATGGTATACAACCACACCTACATGTTTATGGAATGTCTATGGCTCTTTTCTCCCTACAGTAGCAGAGTTGAGTACAGTAGTTGTAACACAAGACTGCACAGTTCAGAAACCCAAAAATATTTACTGTCTAGTCTTTTACAGAAGAAGTATGTTAATCCCTGCCTTAAATAAATAACAGAAAAGATTCAAACAATCAAAGTAGTATTAGAGGTAACTATGAATAAATGTAAAGATTACCTTGGGGATATAAACCCACTTAATTAAATATATCTCATAATAGTCAGATTTTCTTTACCTCTTAACAGCTTCTCACTGGAATTAGCAGCTTTGGCCCATTTGCCAAGAGTTTCCATATACACTATCTGTCTAATTACGGTTACTTCAGTGCCCTTCTTTCTCTAATACTCTTCACTTTCATGTTGGGGAAGGAACTGCAATAGAAGAAATCCCAGAGACCCTTGACTTTAGCTCTGAAGTCTTTTTTTTTTTTTCCTTCAAATCCTCGTTTCCATATAAGGAGTCATTTTATAGGTTGAGAATAAGTAATGGGTATTCTATACACTAGTGGTTTTTAAGTACTTTTGCTCATTTACCTTTTGAAAGACCCTTGAAAAACAATATGCTCCTTCAACACACTTTTTGGGTTGATATCTAATGTCTTTCACTAAAAAATAAAATGGTTGCAAGAAATATAATTTCTGACATATTATGAAAATTGACATTTTTACATGTTGTTGCATTACTTGTAAATAATTTAATTAAACATTAATATCATAGCAACTTTATGCCCTCCCTTATCCTTTTAAGAAATAGATGAAGATATTCTTTAACAGCTGGAAACCTTTTAATCATTCCTGTTCTTCCTCAAGTTTACATTTCATGCCATTCCACTTCACTGCAGAATTTTATCCTTAGGTAATATATTTCTACACTTCAGAGTCTGTTATTGATTATTTTATCATATGTTCTGCCACTAAAATATGTATATAAATTTGAACTTTTTAAATTTCTAGTGACTTTAAGATTTTAAACATTTTTTTTAAATTTCAGGATTGAGTGTATTACTAGATGTTATGAGTACCCATTTAATCAAAACTATGCCTTGTCTATTAGACTGTCTCTACAAATGGAGCAGCTCATTCTCCATGCCAAAGGGCACAAGTAGAGAAAGCAGTCTATTCTGGAGGAGAGAACACCTAATCAGAAAGAGAAACATTATGGCCAGGCACAGTGGCTCACACCTATAATCGCAGCACTTTGGGAGGCCAAGGTGGGTGAATTACTTGAGGTCCGGAGTTCAAGACCAGCCTGGCCAAATGAGGAACCTTGTCTCTACTAAAACTACAAAAATTGGCCAGGCACAGTGACTCACACCTGTAATCCCAGCATTTTGGGAGGTCGAGGTGGGCAGATCACAAGGTCAGGAGTTCGAGACCAGCCTGGCCATCGTAGTAAAATCCCATCTCTACTAAAAATACAAAATTTAGCCAGATGTGGTGACACATTCCTGTAGTACCAGCTACTTGAGAGGCTGCGGCAGGAGAATCGCCTGAACCTGGGAGACGGAGGGTGCAGTGAGCTAAGATTGCACCATTGCATTCCAGCCTGGGTGACAGCATGAGACTCTGTCCAAAAAAAAAAAGCAAGAAGTAAGGAAGGGAGGAAGGGAGGAAAAGAGGAAAGATGGGAGGGAGGACAGGAGAACAACATTGTCAGGTGACAGCCATGGTCAACAACTGGCAGAACACATGAAGTAGGGGAAGCAAATCTCCTTAGAAATGCAGTTAAAGGCCAGACCTGGTGGCTTACTCCAGTAATCCCAACACTTTAGGAGGCCAAGGCAGGCAGATCACTTGAGGTCAAGAGTTTGAGACCAGTCTGGTTAACATGGTGAAACCCCATCTTTACTAAAAGTACAAAAGTT